CTGTTATATGTCCTCCAAATCATGGCGGCTGCAGAAATCATAGAGATGTTCCGAGGGCTGTGAGTTCAGCCTGACTGTTACATCATATTTTAATGAAGCGAGGTCAATCATGCTTACTAGTTTCGCCGCCATTTTAATTGCATTGATTTCAGCCCGAGAGACATTGCACCAAGCTGAGAGTCTCTCAAAGATAGTCACCTTCTACCAGGCTTCTAAAAATTTTCCAAAGCGGCAACCTTAGATATGTTTAGAGATTGTTGTAAAGGTATGTACTGCGACCAAGAGGTTTATTGTGTCCTCAACCATTCACAGTACCTCATCTAACCCTAGAGTTCCCAAAAATTTTAAGATATCCCCGGGGGTTAGCGATTGTTCAACCAGAGTTGACCCAGGTACTCTACCGTTTTATAGCAAACCGCCTCGTTCTCGTCTCGCGAATCATTGGAAATTCCTAGTAAAAAATCTAGCCTGGCGTATACCTACGGTGTTACGCCAGTACTGTTCTCTGAGTGAGTTCCTCTCCTTCCTGATCTCTTCCTTGATTATACTACCTAAGATATGTATGTAAGTCTTTTTGTCTTAAAAATTTGTGATGTATTTTTTGTTTTGTTTTAGTAGAGGGGAATGAGACATGGCATTTAGAGCATCAGTGGACGCAGGGCACTTACATACAACTCTATAGAGTATAATTGGACATATCCAGTGGACTATCTACGAAGAGAGTCCCCGAGAGTTAGGTACTCCGAAGTAGTTGCTAAGTTCACCTCCAGACCGCAGCTTTTTGACCAGCATGTACCCTAGTAGTAAAGAGTTCTCACTCAGTTTGCGGACCAGCTAACTGTGAAGCCAATATTTCACTTAAGCCTACTTCACTATTTTTTTATTTTTAATTCTTTTATTCTTCATATAACTTGCTGACCATGCTCGCTGCGCTTAAAAGTACTCACTGAAATTTTCGGTATTAAAAAAATATTCTGAGCAAAAATCATTTAACTTATTGTCAGAAACGGCAACTACAAGTAACTACGTATGTATGTATGGGCATTTTGTTGTTACTATTTAACCTTTTTCGCTTATCTACAAAAATGTGATCGCTGCCTTTTGAAGTTCTAAACGATCAAAGCTGAAATTCTTAAGTCCATTTTGCTTGCCTTTATCAGCAATCATTGAGCATTTAATCACGTTATCTTTGCGTCTTTAAAAAAGTTTTATTTACTTATGCATGAGAAAACTGCTCGCTGCTGTACTACGCGCTCATTTTGAGGAACTTTAAAATACCGTATTTTGTATTTATCGCCAGAGAAAATGCAACCAAACAAAATCGCGCAAAATACAAAAAACAACCAAAAATCCACTAAGCCCGCGCAGCCGGTGTTAGTTTTTGAGAATTTCCACTCGTCGTC